TAAAAGTGTTACATGTCTCAATGGAAAACTTGAATCTGAGGTCAGTCGCTGCATTCTTAGCTCCAATATTTTTGTATAACGGAAAGCTCAAGTCTCCAATATCCACTCAGAATGCATTACAGACAGCATGCTGATCCATCTGCATTATCTGAACCTGGGATCATCAATACACAGACAGATAATGTTTCTGTGTATTATTATAGTTCATTGCTGATAGATTGTCTGAGGGCTGCATCAGCAATCAATGAAAACAGGTCCAACAGTTTAGCCACGCATACAGAATCAACAGTTTGCAATTGCCAGCCTCATTAGAAAAACAATTCAACTAAACTAAATCAGAAAACAGTTATTGTAAAGTGCAATAATATTTCACAACTTGTGGTTTTGCTAAATTTTTATCAAATAAATGCAGGCTTGGTGAGCATAAGAAAATTCTTACAGTTTCAAAAACATCTCCAAATTCAATGTACAGGAAAGCAAAAAGGCCCGTGCACATATTCAACTATCATTCATCTCTCGACTGAGAGCCAACAGCTGCAGGTGTCAAAATGTTACACTGGAAATGTATGGTTATGCATTGCTATAACTGATAATAGAGCATAATTGTATTTCTCAGAGGGTGCACAGACTAGTTTAAGCTAAAGCCAATCTTCCTATACCAAATTAACACCATAATTTGGATCAATCTTCATGAGCACCCCCTTTACTTAATGTCAACTAACCAGGGGAAACAGATTTGATCTCATTACTGTCATGTAGCCTCTAGCTAAGAATACATGAGCTATGACGTCCAAAATTAGATTCACACATAGGGCGAGAGTGAGTCATTGCTGTCTCTATTGTTCTAAGCGAGCATGCAGGGCTCTGAAAGGAACGGATATGATTTAATTTTTGTTTTGCAGTAGTTGAAAACTAGACAAATACCTAAGACACAGATATAAAGGCTAAATAACTTCATAATCAGAGTATTTTCAATAGCCATGCAGAACTGAACAGCTATCTCCGTAATTCCCATTTCATTTGCACTAACTTACACCTGAAGAGTGGTAGATATTTGCTTATTTAATTGAATGCAATTTTCCCCATTCAGTACACAGATAATGACACTGCATATGCAGATAACAGCAATGAAAACGTTTTACAAAAGAGTTTAACTTTCATCTTGTGTAGCTTCCTCTAGGGAGCGCAAAAGAAATTCAAATCATTTTAAATGAACGAGACTTAAAAGACTGCTGCCAAATCCACAAACTGCTCATGGTTATAATTAAAGTTTATGGCCTGTATTCACAGAGCTTTATGAACAGTTACAGATCTGAGGTCAAGCTTTCACCATCTTTCTGTGCATATGAAGGGAACTTGCTTGCACCTAATTGTTGTAAGCAACCTTATGGTTACAGCTGATCACAGAACCGTGCTTCACTGAAAGATACGCATGACAATCGCAGCTTCTGTCAAATCGCAATCTCGATTCCATTTCGATTTATCGTGCCGCCCTAGTTACAGTAAAAAAAAAATTGGGATTATGAGAATTATTTCGGAATTCTCGGTCCCAGACTCCTCACTAGAAGATATTTTAAAGAATGTCAGCTGGGTCCATTAACTGTATGGACAAACCTTCCTCGTGCTCTTTCTGTTTTGCCCATCACTCCATCTGCACGCTGCTGTTTATGGCATACGCTAATAAACACCGCTGTTCTGCTCTGTTTGAGTCATTATCGACAGAATTATGTGCAATTCATCAGCCAAATATTATTCTCTTCCTGACAGTTTGCTCAACAAAAGCAGTGTCTATGTGTGTTATCGGACGGACACTTGAATTAATATATCAAATTCCTCCTCTCCTTCACATTTCTAAACTCTGCATCAGAACATTAAAACACTGAATTCACAAAAAAGAGTACAAGTGCTTATCGTGAAATCTAACAGAACATCATAAAAATACTACAGGCCCATTAACAAGAAAGCACAGCAGGGAACGAAGATGAATATAAATGGAGATGAGCACTTCATTAATGGCCTTAAATTTAAACTGTGGCCCATTATGTCACCATAATGTTTAGAAATACTCCAGACCACAGGACATCTGCACACAGAGCGCTGTTAATCCAATCTGTCCCCCTTAAGGGAACAAGGGAAAGAGGTTAATAGACACAAATTAAAAGGGGACACTATCTGACAGTTCACACTGATATGTTTTCTTTTCACTGGTTGTGCAACTGCTACACAAACCATTTAAAAAAGTCTCAAAGGTGACGTTTTTCTTTATTTCAAGATGAATAAATGTGCAAAGCTTTATAAAGCTCAAATACTGAACATCATACTCAAAATGACAGAATCCTATTTCCAAAAAAATCTGTCAGCAATGAACGAAGACCTTAAAGGAACACTCCACTATTTTTGAAAATAGGCTCATTTTCCAACTCCCCTAGAGTTAAACCGTTTTCAAATCCTTCAGCCGATCTCCGGGTCTGGGCGGTAGCACTTTTAGCTTAGCTTAGCATAGATCATTGAATCTGATTAGACCGTTAGCATCTCGCTCAAAAATGACCAAAGAGATTCTATATTTTTTCTATTTAAAACTTGACTCTTCTGTAGTTACACCATGTACTAAGACTGACGGAAAATGAAAAGTTGCGTTTCTAGGCCGATATGGCTAGGAACTATACTCTCATTCCGGCGTAATAATCAAGGAACTTTGCTGCCGTACCATGGGTGCAGCAGGCGCAATGATATTATGCAGCGCCTGAAAATAGTCCCAGCTAGGTAACTTCCAATAAGCCTATTTTCAGGCGCTGCGTAATATCTAAAGGCTCATTTTCTTAGGAACACTTGAGCAGTTCACTCTCTATGAAAATGAGGGACTAAACTTGCTCCCTTTGCTTACAAATTGTCAGAAATTAGTTGTCTAGCGAGCAGTCAGTGAACAAGTGTGCCTTAGGTACTGACATTAGCTTTGGTACTGCACCTGAGTGCTGTTTTAAATACAGATGGCAGTGAGGTTTTGGAGGTCAGAGGCTGGACACAGATACACCTTCTCAATGGCTACCAGAGGAAACTGAAAAACCAGTCTGTTTCCTATTATTTGCATAGGTAATTTAGCATGTAAAGGTCTACATTAGAACAACCCCTATTTCCAAAACAGTATATTAATCCAGAATATCAACCAGCAATGGGTCGAGCTCTTAATCCACAGATCATCCATCTGCTCTGGGCTCATGCTCCCAAACCAGTACACAAATTTATTAAAGTCTTTATAAAAAAAAGTTCAAAGCGTAAGTTCACCAGTTTTCAACTGGCTTTGTATTGTAACAATGTTGGTAGTATAAATAAATGAACAACGTGTATTATTTTTCTGTTACCTGGACCAAGATATCCGCAAATATTTGTAAAACTTGTCATCCAATCTCCAGGGCTTTCATTAAAACTACAGATTTCAGCATTTTTATATACCCGCTCACAGATACAGTAGTCTGATCAAGCCCAGTGCATTATGGGTGCTGAATTTTTAAAAACTTTTTTTAAAACTATTTTCCTCAGTTTTCAATTTATTAAAGTCTTTATAAAAAAAAGTTCAAAGCGTAAGTTCACCAGTTTTCAACTGGCTTTGTATTGTAACAATGTTGGTAGTATAAATAAATGAACAACGTGTATTATTTTTCTGTTACCTGGACCAAGATATCCGCGAATATTTGTAAAACTTGTCATCCAATCTCCAGGGCTTTCATTAAAACTACAGATTTCAGCATTTTTATATACCCGCTCACAGATACAGTAGTCTGATCAAGCCCAGTGCATTATGGGTGCTGAATTTTTTAAAACTTTTTTTCACCACAGCTATTTTCCTCAGTTTTCTCTAGTTGTGTAGCACTGATTTAAATGTAATCTAAGTAAGTAATGTAAAACACAGAGACCACATGTGTAGGGGAATTCCCGAAATCCTATAAGTGCCTAGATGCAAGTGGGTATTTAGGCCATGTCCACACGTACATGGGTATGTTTATACACTGAGATTTTCCTTCTTCCGTTTTAAAAAAAATCTACGTCCACATGAAACGTCTCCAGTTACTATCGTAACCTCGGTTCCCTAAGAGCGGGAACGAGACATCACGGAGACATTTCTCCATTATGGGAACTCCTTCCCTTCCAACCTTTCTGAAGTCCTATTAGCTCACGCCAGTCCAAATGACTGGCCAATTGTTATGACGCATGCAAATCGCATGCAAATACTGACAAGCTCAAGGGGCAGTATAAAATGCAGTGCATGCGTCAATTACATCAGAATCTGATACTGAACGCCACTTAGCTGGTCGAGCAGCGAACACGGCGACCTCCGTGATGTCTCGTTCCCACTCTCAGGGAACCGAGGTTACGTAACCTCGCCACGGCTAATTGGCCTAGTAACCGGAGACGTTCCCTCTCGAGCTTTCACGAGACATCACGGAGACATTTCTCCGTTATGGGAACGATATTCAATCCAGCCATGAGAGAGGCTACGAGCAGCCTGTACAAGTCACATACCCAGCGAAGATAGAACACACACACATACACAATTCCCATAACCAATAGTGACGCTTGTAGGCGGGCTCGCAGCTGATAGGTGGAGATAAGCCAATGAGCTTCTAAAACCCAGGTATACTAAATTTGCATATCTGGTCAGTAATGACGTAGGCTGCGCTGAGAACAGGGCAGACGCAACAACAGTACTGGAAGGGCTGCACAGAGATTACTGTGCTAAAGCAGCATAACACAAAGTGAATCAGACATGAATAACAGGAAGCTGCACTGAGTACAGTCTCTTTTGGGTACCACGAAATAGTGGCTGTAAAACCCGCACTCCAGCTCGCTCGGCGGGACTCGCTCTATCGCTCCTTTTTCAAGCAGACTGCATACCTCTTGTCTCAGAACCGGGGCATTTCGAGGCAATGTTAGAGACTGAACTACACCATTGAAACGGGGTGGTCTGCGTCTGAATTGAAGGGTATACCCACGCTCTATCACACCGAGTAGCCAGCACGAGATTCCAGGAATAACTTCCCACGCACTCAGGAACTGACATAGCGGCTTGGTCGTTGGATGCGCCGGCGAGTGCTGCGCGACTATAACCTATGTGGGCGGCGGCTGCGCACTGCTCTGAGGCGGGGTGAGTGCATTTTTATTGAATGAACATCCAACACACAAACATTTGAACACATGAACTTGTGGCGCTTGGGAGCCGGGCCGCTCGCGCACTCTCCTTCTCTCTTCAGACCGTCAGGACGGCGGGCGAAAGTCACGTCGCGGGCTCCTCCGCTGGCCGTGGCGCTTCGTCCCGGGACCCCACGCCTTCCTCCGGACATCCGGCTCCTGGCGAGGAGCAGTAGCAGTCACCGCCGCGGTTGCTTGCCTGGGGTTATCCCTCCGTTGGGAAGAGCCAGGTGCCGACGAGGACCTGGATCTCGCCGTCTGCTGCTGGAAAGTGCGCCTTGGCATCACTTGACTCATGGCTTTGGCGCACTTTTGAGCCTCCGCGAAGCATTCAATAATGGACTCCACGGCGTCACCAAAGAGGTGACGTTCAATAATGGACTCCAGGGAGTCACAGGAGCGTTCAGCAGCACTTTACGGTCAGCATCCTTGAGGTCAGCCAGGTTTAACCATAGGTGCCTCTGAAGGACGACCATAAAACCCATGGCCTTACCCACGGCCTGGGCCGCTCGCTTCGTCGCCATCAGCGCAAAGTCTGTCGCCGCGCGCAGATCCTTAATGGCCTCCGCCCTCCACCGCCTGCAGGAGCTTCACCTGGAAAACCTGTAGCACCGCAATGGGATGCAGCGTGGAAGCCGCCTCACCATCAGATGCATACGCCTTATTAACGAGGTGGACGGTGGTCCTGCACGGCTTCGAGGGGAGGCTGATGTCCAAGCCTAAACAGTTGAGTACATTTTTTTTCAGGATTCTTTGATGAATAGAAAGATCTAAAGATCAGCATTTATCTGAAATAAAAAGCTTTTGTAACATTATACACTATTCCATTCAGTATAATTTTTATTATTTTTTGGGGAAAGAAATTATAGAGATTAATACTTTTATTTAGCAAGGATGCTTAAAATTGATCAAAAGTGATGATAAAGGCATTTATAATGTTACAAAAGATTTCTATTTCAGATAAATAGTGTTCATATCGATATTGGAATTATATCGTATCGACCGAAATTAAGAAATATATCGTGATATCAATTTTGGCCATATCGTCCAGCCCTAGTCTCAGGTAAACAAAACTTGAGGGTACTTGGCCATTTGTGCATTAAAAACAAAAATAACATAACTGTTTCAAAATTCAAATTTCAGTATGGGTGTATGTTATTTACATTATAGAGAAAAACACTAAAATAACATCAATTTATATTTACAGAGCAGACCTTGTTTTACTCATAAAGTGAAAAACACCTTTAGAGAAGTCTCAAGGGGACCCATGGCTTCCAGCTTTTGACATCACAGCTGCAGCACTTCATATACAGCATTTGTATTTTTTTTTAATTAAAACAAGCATTTGTCATACTGCATAACTATTCAAAATGAACTAGCAAGAACAAAAAGGTGTTAAAAATGGTACACAAAAAAAGGCTTAGAAGAAATTCTGATGTACTGACCTAATCCACGATTTTAAAAAAAAAATCATGACAGCACAATCTGCAAGATGCTCTTTCTACAAAACACGCCAAGAACAAACAGGTTTATGCCTGCAAGATGATGAAATAAAGACTGTAATCTGAAAGAGAATAGTTAAAGTGATCCAAAACACTGAGCCTAATGTTGATTCTTCAAACAACTGCTGGAGTAAATCAAAGCCTGTCACAAGCTGCTCTATCACACTCAGTGCTTGATGAATGCCTCCACCTTAAAGCAACTTCCTGGCCATCAATACACTTTACAAAGATCACTTTATATGTTATAGCACAAGTATTTTAGGAAAACCGGCTGAACTCATTTCACATATGAAATCTCATCAGAAAATACCAATATCATTTACCATTTGAAGATCCCTCAAAATGCACACTTAATGCACATCAACTGACTAAACGTTTAAATGAAGAAATCAGAGAAATAGCTCAATGCGTTTAGTCAAACCGCAGGCCTTGTGGCCATTTAACTGTCATAAAACTTAGTCCAGTGAACATCCTACAATCTCTCCCAGCGACTGGGGGAGAGTGCACGTACCCGTGGGCCTCCGCCCCATCCACGTGGGAAAAGATGGCCTGTGTGGCAGAGTGGACGCTGATTGGGGCGCAGACCCCGTTTTCACCAGCTGCTCGTGTACGTCGGGGAAGAAGGGGACCGACGCCCTTGAGTCAGCTTTCCGGGTGGACCTGAAATACCAGGAGTTGAGCTTACTCCTGGCAGGCTCCTCTGGAGTACCCCAGGTAAACTCCAACTCCTGGACAGCCTTCAACAGAACCCTCATGAGCTCCTCCTTAGACATGAAATACTTCTGATATGTCAACATATCCTGCGATCAATTCTAGAAAATCTACAATTTTTAAATTGGCATTTTGCTAAACCTTTCATAATTATCATGCATTAATTATGAGACTATCTAGTGCTGCAGCTGTGACGTCAAAACCTGGGAGACTAATTTGGATTTCCTTGAGATTTTCCTATGGGTTTTTATCATGGAATTTTTCAATTAATGAGTAAAATAAGGTCTCAGGTAGGGCTGGACAATAATTCAATATCAATATCGCGCGCTGCAGAGGGGCCTTGGCTGGTCGCGTCTGGAGCTTTTTGCTATGATGGAGAAATCACACACACGCGCGCTCACCTCTTCTTACTCAAAGGGAAATCATGAATGAAGCATACGAAACATCTGAAAACCTTGTTCAAAATCATATTAATCAGCTATCAAAACACACAGCTCAGGTCGTTGAGGTTTGGAAGACTGAGTTTGGTGAGCGGTGCCCAATGCAAAACTAAACTTTCAATGTTTTGTGGGTTTGTGGTGTGATTTGGTATCGTGTGCCCTCTGGTGGCAGATTTGGAGAAAAATCAAACGACAGTAGTTTATCAGTAATCCTAAAAAATAACACTGCCAAACACACATGCTAAAAACAACAACTTACTTACACATAGTAATAAATGGTTATACAAACTGAAACAGAAGCGAAACAAGTAATAGAGTAATCGTTATTGTGCACTATTACTGTTGCCCTTCTTGTTGTATTTTTCATCTTTAATTTATCCTTCCTAATTATTTGTGTTCGATTATTGATGTTACTTCATATTACGCATTTATTTAATCATTATTCAGGCAATAAACTGGACGAAACAACGTTCACATTAACTAATGAAAATAAAAAAAGTGAATGTAACTAAAGGAATTTATCTCGTAAAGCTTATTAAGAACAAAACAACTCTATGTTACAAGAAGCGCAGTGATGGTGTACAGTCATGCACTTCTTGTAGCTATATGCAGTAACTTCTCAAACCACAACTTTAACGAATGAAAACTGGAATTGATGTCTCATTAGTTATACTGCTTTA